TTTGGACCATCCACTCCACCAAAGTAGCAAAATCTTGGCTCAGCTACATAGTACAAACTTTATATGAAGCCACCAAGTAAACCAAGGACTTTGTTTGGACTCAGAATCACCCTGACTAAAAGAACATGATGGATTCACCTCTGTCAGAGCAGACTTGGTTTACAATCAGAAGCAGTTTCATCCAAGAGGGTCAGAGGAAAGCACAAGCAGTGGTAACAACCAAATCGGAAGTAATTTGGACTCAGCTTCTTCCTCCAGGCACTTCAGCTCATTGGGCTGAACTGACAGTGCTGATCTAGGCCTTTATTATGAGAAAAGAATTGTCTGTTAACCTCTACATTGACAGCTGAGATGCATTTGCAATTGCACATGTACATGGAGTTATTAACCAGGAGAGAGGGCTCGAAACTGCAGAGGGGAAATCTATTTAAAAAAAAAAAAGATGAAATCCTATAGTTACTCAAACCCCTCTGGTTACAAAACAGGGTGGCAATCTCACACTGTCCTTTCCACCAAAAAGGAACAATACCAGTAGCTAGAGGTAACAACTTAGCTGACAAAGCTACTAAGGATGGGCTCTGGGGAAAAAAAGCTGCCTCTTTGTTGGCTATGATTACCAGTGTTGCTCAAAACCATCCTGATGGAATGCCTAGTCTATATGGAAGAGATCAAATGGGCCAAGAAACAGCCCATGAGCAAGTTTTCTGAGTCCGGTGACAAGTGAGTGAAGGTAAGCTAATATTACCCAACTTCCTGGAAAGGTCTATCCTCAGGAAAATCCATAGAGTCACACACATGGGAGTGAGACAGCTGGCTGCTGCAGTGAGACAATCTAAAGTGACCCTCAGAGACATGCAGAATACTATTCAGAATATAATTTCAAGCGGCCAATTAACCAATACCCACAAAACTGCCAAACACTGAGGCTCTCAATGAGAGATACAAGACCGAGGGGCCTACTGGGAAATTGATTTTACAGAAATCAAACCATGGAAGTACAGCTATAAGTGCTTACTGGTATTCATGGACACTTTCTCCAGATGGATGAAAGCATTTCTAACAAAGACTGAGACTGTAAAAGTAGTGGCTAAGAAGATGCTGGAGGATGTCTTATCCAGGTATGAATTCCCTCACATGATAGGGTCAGGCAATGGACCAGGATTTGTGTCCAAGGTATGCCAGAATGTAGTAAGATTTATTGGGGCAGACTGGAAATTACATTGTGCTTCCTGGCCCCAAAGTTCAGGCCAAGAAGAAAGGATGAATAGCACATTAAAAGAGACCTCACCAAATTGTCCATGGGGACTGGCTGTGACTGGGTGATGTTCCTTCCTTTCTCCCTATATTGGGTATGGAACTACACTTACTGGATGGGATTAACCCCCTTTGAGATTATGTATGATATCCCTGCCCTCATTCTATTGATATTTGAGTCTGCATATAGTGCAGAATTGGGAGATGATGAATTAAAAACTAAGGTCAGAGCAACCCAGTAGGCTCATAAGCATGTTTGGTCTAAACTGCATGCCCTCTATGAAGGAGGCACAGTTCCAGAACCACACAAGTTTCAACCAGAAGACTGGGTCTCCTTGAATTGATTTTGCCAGGATGTGCTGGAGCCCAGATGGAAAGGACCATTCATTGTCTTGCTGACCATGCCAAAAGTCATTAATGTAGATGGGATTGCTGTACGTGTGTACTACACTTATGGTAGACCAGCTGATCCACTCTTTGCAAAGGGGGATCACCAGATTTCACTGTCTCCACTGGAATGGAAAGTTCCAAATGGCACTAATCCTCTCAAGTTAAAATTAACCCAGCCCTGAGCCTATTGTTTCTGTTACCTGCTATGTATAACAGCTAGTAACCCATTTCAGCCCTTTGACCTGACCTGGGTAATTGAAAATCTTGAGACTGACAAACAAGTTCAGGTAGCCTGCACAAAGAAGCTACTCAGGACACCCTGGTTCTCAGATTTGAATGTTAATAACTCATAACTCATGGCATAATACTCAACAGAATTTACAAAATGTATACCTCATGTGTAGATGGGAGACATTTTATATGAGTCTCAGGGGATATAGGATTGTCATGTTTGGGACAATTCTACTGTGTTTCCTGGGGATGCAAAACCTCAGTCCTGGGGAATGAGGGATGGAATGTGTCAAAGGAAGAACTTATCAGGTTTGCCTGGCAGGGGGACAGCTCCAAAGTTTTACTTAGGTTTACTGCCAAAGGGAAACAAGCAAAAGGATGGGAACCTGAGAAATCCTGGGGTCTCTGGCTTTACTTTATCACAGGGAGCAAACGTGGACTGCTTTTTACAGTTAGACTCTTGATAAAACCAATTGTGAATCTACTCCCAGTAGCTGAAGGACCAAATTAGGTCTGACAAACCCTAAACCTATACCAAGCCCCCCACACCCCCAGGCTTGCTACCACTATATCCTCAGTCACTCAACCACAGGGATTTTCAGCTCCAGATTTTTCCCAAAAGATTCAGAACCCATGGATCCCCTCCAGTCAATGATGTTAAAGACCTTCCACTTCTGAATGTCTCCCAGCCAGTAGTTACCACCTCTTGGAGAGTATGCTATTATTTTAGAACCCACTTTTATAAAGGCATCTGATTAATAGCTAGATACAATGTGTCTAATAGGGATGCTGTGTGTAGATCCTCACAGGAAGGTTAGGCTTTAACCCTGCAGACCATATCAGGACAGGTAATTGCCTTGAGTTTCTCTGTCACTTAGGCAGCTTTGCAATCAAACAATACCCACTGTTTATTCTAAATGGATTATCATCCTTGAACAAGCATAGTGGGCTTGTCAGATCATACTGACCCCCTGTGTACATGGAGAGCTCCTTAATTCTTCTATCATAAAGGAATTCTGCATTCTAGTTGAGTTAGTACTCTGCATAACATATTATTCAGAAAAGACACTGCTGAAAACTCTGGTAGTACACATTGGAGGAGACCTCATATGGCAGAAAAGGGAACCCATCTCTTTAACTCTAGTGATAATCCTAGGAGCAGGACTAACTGGAGCAGGTACTGGAATAGGTGCACTTACATTACAGAGAAAAAATTATAGTGGCTTAAAATTAGACAGAGATAAGGGTATTCAAGGCCTAGAGAAGTCCATCTCACACCTGAAGCACAGTGTGGACTCTCTGGCTAACATAGTACTGCAGAACAGAGGGGAACTAGACTTAGTGTCCCTACAATAAAGAAGATTATGCTCCACTTTGTGTAAAGAGTGCTATTCCCATGTCAACTATTTTGGACTTACTAGACAGTCATTGGCTAAAATTAGAGAAAGTATAAATAGGTGCTAAAAGGAATCAGAGAATTCCAAAAGTTGGTATCATTCACTGTTCAATACTTCCTCCTGGCTAACAACCCTTATTTCTACAATCATGGGAACCCTGATCATTATTTTACTACTCTTTCGTCACTTTACATGATTTTATCATTTTTGGGCCATGCATAATCAATAAGCTTTTCAATATATGAAACAGAGACTGGGAATATTCAACTGATGGTCATGAGGTCCCAATATCAACTAGTTAGTATAGAGAATCCAGGTCTCAGAGAGCCCAAGATTGGCTTCTGAAATTACTAGCAGAATGGGGAATGAAGAGACATAGGGAGCCTGCATCTGTACTTCCTTGCTAAGGGGGATAGAGAACTTAATGCCCTTTCCCTCTCTCCTTCCTAGATGCATCAGACCTTTGGAGTGAGCACAGCCTCATGCCTGATTATTCTAAAGTTAATTTTAGAATTTTCCCAAAATGACTCAGACATAATTTTCTCAGAAAAGGACACAAAATCATACTGTGGAACGTTCCCAAGAATTCAACATGCAGAGACCAGAAACAGAAAGAAAGTGATAGAAGGACAGAGACTGTAGCAACCTGCTCAGCTTTTCTAGAATGTGTTAAGCAACTGTGCTCATTTCATGATTCTTGCCCTTTCTAATGAATTTGACTTTTGGGAAGGAATTAATCAGTTAACAGTGATAAAATATGGTGCTTCCTGTGACTGTTACTCTTGCTGGAATGAAGAGAGGGGCTTAAAGATGAGGTAAGCAATATAAAAGCAAAACACTTGCTCAGGTTTAAGATGGAGACAAATTTAAATGTTTTTTCTTGCATTTCTAAACAAATATAAAATGTTTTAATTTTTTCTGATTAACAGTAAATAAAGATTGGTGTCACAAGCCAATATACTTCACCCTTGTTTCTGTACAGTGTGAAGCTACACCTGATTACAGTTTATATGTTTAAAATATAAATACATATAGCTTCTTCAGGTGATGCCTAGCTAAAGAGATTTCTCATATATTCCTTACCAATAAATTCTTTACCATATGTATTTACTGGGGAAAAGTATTGGCCGTGTGTGTGTGTGTGTGTGTGTGTGTGTGTGTGTGCGCGCGCGCGCGTGCACGCACGTGTGTGAAGCTTTAAATACATATGTGGAAGTAAAACCCCAATCTTTGATTTTTTTCCCTGTATGAGACCAAGAAATGAATTTAGAAACAGGTAATCAAAGTAGAACCCTTTTATTTGTAGTGCCTTTTTCCTCAGGGTATTTCATATTAACTTCAGAATAATGTATAATGTATATGTATAATGTATAATGTATAATGGAGAACTGTTATTCTTGGGCAATTAGAGAATAGAAGCCATGAGAAGAAGGAAGTATACAGTGGCAGTTCTGAGAGTGGTGAATAAAGGCTTCTGTGAGTGATTTCGGAAAATAACACAAGAGGAACTCTTCTCATCTTAATTTCTGTTAACTGCTCTTCATTAGACAGGGATGAAGCACATCTGGAAAGGGGGAAGCAGTGAAGAAATTCCAGAACCTTGTGCTGTATCAATATTCTCTGAGTCATCCAGTGATTTCAGTTTGAAATTCTGTAAAATAGTGGTCAGGAATAGAGAAAGCTCCAAGCGGGCAAGGCTCTCTCCCACACACATCCGTTTTCCTATGGGAAATAAACAGTGAAAGAAGTTCACTATGCCTTATACATAAGTAAGTTCCAGAGGCAGTGTTTATAACTGACAGAATAAATTTGAATGCATTTGTGGATGAGTGGTTAAATGTATTGATTATTGTAAGCACAACTACTTAAGCAACTAGACAATGTTGAGGCATATATTTTTGCCTGCTAACATTGCTGGGGTGGGGGCAGGGAATGGGGGGGAGAGTAACTTGGGTAGACCGTGAGGCCCATATGTGCTCAATCTGTTCTGGGCCAGTTTTTGTTTCTGTTTCTATTTGGTTTTCCTGTTAACCCAAACTCTTAGATTTATCAAAAATCTTTTTCCTGATATTAGGGGAGAAAAAACAACAACAACAACAACAACAACAAGAACAGCAGCAGGAGCAGCAGCAACAACAACAACAAAATCCACAAAAAGAGATGCCTTTAAAACAAACTCTCTGTCCATTCCGCTTTTGTTGGTTGGGTAAATAGCTAGCAGTCCGAGGCACCACGACTCTCTGGTTCCCGAAGGTTGATTTGAGGCCCAGGCTCTGGTACAGCCGAGCATTCTTGGCATCTGGTTAACGTCTCCCGGGCTTGTGTAACTCTGGTCATTGGTATTTTGGGGCTTTAAAATAATTTCCCCCCTTTTTTTTTTTTTCATGAGGCAAAATGCAGCAGAGGGCTCTTTTTGAGAAGAACGGCATTCTGAAAGAATGATTTAGAAAAACATATATTGGGGGCAGTGCAGAAAGGGTTTTCATTGTGGGCCGCCATGCCTGAGCCCAGCTGCTGGTAGGAGGAGGCAGGTTTGAATGTGACTTGGATCATCATGATTAAATATGGACTTAGTCTTAGGATCTGATAGTGTCGATACTGGGACTGTCGAAAGCAAGGACTATTGTTTACCACTCAGATTAAGCGAACATAAATTCAGGAGTAGGGAGTGTCACATAGATTCCACAACTTTGCCACTGTGGTGACGAGAGGCATTTTCTTTTGTACCACTGTATACTCAGAAGTGACTATTGTGGAGTCAGGTATGATCAAAGATGTTTCCCAGCCACCTTCCTTCAGAATCCAGCTGAGCCAGCTACAGCAGCAGGGGCAGCACTGGGAAAGAGGGTGATGTGCATACCCACCTGTCCCCTGCTCCCCTTCGACTACCCCAGGCCTAGCCCTTGCTTCTTAGAATCCCCTGCCAGGCCCCACAGTGCTGGAGTAAAGTAAGTGGCAAGCTGAGTTTTATTCTAGCATTGGAAAGAACAAGTTGTACATATTTCCTTTGGAATATATCCAAATCATGTCAAGTGGGTTACTGAGACACTGCCTTCCCTTGTATCTCTGAGTCTCTGTGGATAGCTTCCATCTATCCAGAAAGCAGAATTAAGGCACACGGGCTCCCCTGGAGCCACAGCAGAGACTTGTTATCATGGAAAGCAGGTGCAAAGATAATCACTTTGATCTAAATACTGTGGCACTGTCTAGAGCCACATTGCCTAGTCCATGTCCCCTGCAGATGTCAAAGTCTGTTGTACTTTTCAATTCATCCTTCTGGACACAGAGACTGCTGGTGTCGTGGTCCCAGTTGGCCAGGGTACAGCTCAGTTGGGCCCACACTGGGATCCTCCAAGCTCCTCAATAAAACTCAGAGCAACCAATGCTACTCGGCTTTAGAAAAAAACATTTATTGGCAAAAGTGGATTTTCTATCAGACTTCATAATGTTGCCAAAGTGGCAAATATAATTTCTTTTTGCAAATACAGTTTCTAAATTAGGAAAATCACCAAGGCTTTGCTCTATCCCTTTGGAGACACTTGCTCCTGTCTAAAGGAAATACATGGAAAAATAATGGGACAGAGAATGAAAGAAAGACCGTCCAGAGACTGCCCCACCTGGGGATCTGTCCCATATTTACCCACCAAACCCAGTCACTTTTGCTGATGCCAAGAAGTGCTCATTGGCAGGAACCTGATATAGCTGTCTCCTGAAAGACTGTACTAGAGTCTAAACAACACAGATGCAGATGCTCACAGCCATCCATCTGACTGAGAATGAGGACCACATTGGAGGAGTTAGGAGAAGGACTGAAGGAACTGAAGGGTTTTACAACCCCACAGGAAAAATACCAATATCAAGCAAATAGACACCCCCAGAGGTCCCAAAGTTTAATACACCAATTAAAGTGTACTCACAGAGCACCCAATGGCTCCAAGTGCATACTCAGCAGAAGATGACCTTATTTGGCATCAACAGGAAAAGAGGCTCTTGGTCCTGTGAAAGCTTGATGCCCCAGCATAGGGGAATGCTACAGACATGAGGCTGGAGTGGGTGGATGAGTGGGGGAGTTCTGTGAGAGATATTTAAAAATGGTGGCTCCCAATCTTGCTTGTTTTTAATCATTGCAATCATCCTGACTAGGTTAGGTCTGAGGTCATGAGCAGCAGCATGTTCTCACTGCTGCTGTGGCTCAGGTTGACAGCTCAAGTCACCAGCTGAAGCCACCTCCTCAGGTGGTCAGAGTCACTGGCCCTGTCACCCACAACATGCTGGTGTGGGATGTGCCAGTCTTCCACGATGTCTCCACAAGGCTGGGCTGAGCCCAGACCACACTGCCATCCATACAGGCCCAATAGAAATTAGACTAGTGCTTAAATAATCCAAAGGCTTTATAAGTTTGGTAATGCTCAATAACTAGATGCCCACATAATTGGAAGTGTTAACCAATTAACTAACCTAGATAGAAGTTGTTACTCAGGACTGCTCTCTGTACATGCATTGTCATCTATGGCACCTACAACTCTGCCTCCCTAGTTCCTCCTCTTCCTTCTTCTTTTCTCCTTACTCCTCCTCTTCCTCTCCTTACTTCTTCCACCTTAGCTCCTTCCAACTTTTGGGGAGCACCCTCAAAAAAGAATGGTGAGAGAGGATGTGATAGAGGAGATGTGGAGGGGAAACAGATAAAAGAAATAATATTTGAAATGTAAACAAATAAAACATCCCTTAAAAAATTTGAATGATAATCAAAATTCAAACCAATGACACATAATAAAGTTACTCCTAGAGACAAATTCATAGACCTGTGTATCAAAACAAAGAGAGAGAGAAAGAGAGAGAGAGAGAGAGAGAGAGAGAGAGAGAAAGAAAGAGAGCGAGAGAGAGAGAAACAGAGATGGAGAGGGGGGCAGTGTCACGGCTCATATTAAATATATGCTTATCTGAAAGCACTAGCCAAAGAAAGAAGAAATGACATCCAGAAGATGTAAATAGGAAGAAGCAATAAAACTCAGGGCTGAAATCACCAAAATAGAAACAACAACAACAAAGCTACATATAGAATCAATGAAACTAAATGTTGACTATTTAGAAAAACAACACAACTGAGAAACCCTTGACAAAAATTACTAAAAGAAGTAGAGATAAAAGACATGTTAATAAAACTAGAGTTGAGAATAGGATATGAGAATAAAAAGTGAGGAAATTCAGAGAATTATAAAGGAATACTATAAGAATATGTACCCCAACAAATTGGAAAATCTAAGAGAAAGTCATAATTTCTTGATTTATACCAACTACAAAGATTAAATCAAGCTTCAGACTCACAGCGGAAGTGAAGCAGTAATTTAAAGACTCCTAATAAAACAAAACCAGCATCAGTGGGATGCAGCAAACAATTTTCCCAGTTTCAAAGAAAATTAAAGCCAATAATCTGAAAACTATTCCTCAGAATAGAAAATGAAAAGAAACTGCCTAATTCATTTTATGAGGTTATAGATGGTACAATTCTCAGTAAAAATGCTTGCTAACAAAATAATAGAATTGACAAAAAAAATTATCAAGTAGGCTTCATCCCAAAGATGAAGCGATGGTTTGACATACATAAATCATTGTGATCCACAATATAAACATACTAAAATATAAGAACCACATGGCCATCTATTAGAAGAGGCATTTGCTGAAACACAGCATTCCTTCATGATAAAAGTCCTGGAGAGATTGGAAATAGAAGAAACATTACTCAATATAAAAAGAGTTTATTTAGAGCACACCCACAGCCCAAATAAACCAGATTGGAAAGAGTTAAAGCATTTTTACTCAAATCAGGAACAAGAAAAGGATATCCATGATCTCTATATTTATTCAATATAATATTTGAGTGTACGCTACATTAATGAGTCAGTTGAAGGAGATCAAGGCAATACAAGTAGGAAAAGAATATTTCAAAATATCCTTAACTGCAGAAGGTAAGAATGTATCCATAAAACTCTTAAATCTCTACTAGGTAAAGAGATATCAACAGCTGATATCTCTTTAAGGAAAGTATCAACATACCAAATTAACACACAAAAATCAACAGTATTTCTATATACAAATGAAAACTGTACTGAGAGAAATTAGAGAAACAATACATTTCATGATTTTAACAACAAAAATATCTAAGGATAACTCTGAACAAGGAAGCAAAAGACTTAAAAGTCAAAAATTAAGATATTGAAGAAATAAAATGAAGAAAATGAAAAAAAGGAAAAGATTCCCAATGCTCACAAATCAGCAGGATTAATAGAGTGAAACAAGGTTCTCCTATTCAGCACCATCCTTACTAACATTCCTATACAATGAAGAATTTTCAGCTTGATATATGAGAAAGACAAATGCCATGATAACTAAAGTAATCCTGAATAATAAAAAAATGCTCAGATATATAACCATGATGAACCTGAAATTGTACTACAGAGTTATAGTAATAAAATCAAGATGGTATTGACACAAAAGCAAACAGGCTCAATGAGAAATTTTATGAGTTTTTTAACAAAATCAGTTGATGAATCAACATGCATCCATGTCAACAGCAAAAACACACACTTTAGGTATGGAGATGTGATATTCATGAAAAGTATCCTCATTGGTGGAGCAGCAGAGAGGCCCCGAATAGTCTTGTGCCACCATCACAAGTTTCCATGATCTCATGGAAACCTGGAAGTTTCTTACATCTGTACCTAGAAAGTATTGTCTCTCTGTGTTTCATTTTCTTCTTTTATATAAATAAATGTGTATTAAATTTGCATTCATGGGTGAGTGAATGACAAAGTTAGTTAATTATGGAGTTCAGAAGACTTCTTAAGGTCTCCTGGAAGAGGGAATACAGGTAGTTGTTAGTACACAAGTTAGGTGGTGGGCATTCTCCTGAGGTTTATGGCAAGAGTTGCATATTCTCTTAACTGCTGAGATATCTATCATATCCTTTATTATTTTTGTAAGAATGTCAAACACTAGACAAATTTTAAGCAATCACTGGGAATGTTTAACAAAGTCTCAATCATAATGAAGAGTTACTGGAAGCTACAAATTACTTTGAGAGAAAATGCCATGTTTATTCATTAATTATGCTATCTGTAAGTTACTAATTCTCCAGAGGTTGTCACTAAACCAATAAACATGTAACGAGATATGGATATCTCCTCAGAGGTCTTCAAGAGTCTGACATACTCAGAGGCAGATGCTCACAACTAGCCATTGAACTGATCATGGGGTTCTCAATAGAGGAGTTAGAGTGAAGACTGAAGGAAAGCTGAAAGGATTTGCTGCACCATGAGGAGAGCAACAATACCAACCAACCACAGCTCCCAGGGTCTAAACCACCAGCCTGGGAGCACTTAGGGAGGGATCCAGCGCTTCAGTTGAATATGTAAGAGTGGAGGGCCCTGCTGGGCATAGGTGGAAGAAGGGAACCTTGACTGCATGAAGGCTGGATGCCCCAGGGGGTGGGAATTTTGAGGGTGGGGAGGTTGGAGTGGGGGGGGGGTAGATAGAGGTTACATCCACAGAGAAGAAGGAGGAGGGGTGAGGGGATTGGGATTTCCTGGGTGGGTGGGGGATGGGGTAAGGGGACAACATAGGAAATGTAAATAAAACATCCAATAAAAAAAAAGAAAAAAAAAGAAAAAAAAGGATATAGTTCAGTCAGTAATTATTAAAATGTGTATGAATTTGGAGAAAAATAATTTTTCTGATCATGTGTTATGAACAAATGATGGTTGTGTTAAAATATTGGGGTGGTTTTGATCAAAGGCCTTGTGTACATATATGAAGCTAAACCAATAAAACATAAGATCTAAAAATATTATTCATTTTCTGCTATTACTTGTGGTTCTTTGTGGTAGGTAGAAATATATCGATTATACTGCTGATTTAATTTTTCATTTTAAATTTGAGATACTAGAGAGCAAAAATTGTGGAGAATTCTTCCATGCAGCATGCTAGTTCAGTGCTCTGTAATTCTCTCAACCTCAAGTTACACTGTTGCAGCCTGGTTGTTCTTCTACTTCGCTACATCGACTTTAGGCCTATTGGAGCATTTTTGATGTTTTTACTTTATCTATTTTATTTTCTAATATTTGAGTTTTTCAATATAGCTGAGCCAGGAAGAAAGTGACACAACAAAGATATACATTCAAGTTATCGTTGAGTCTGTATCTTTTTTCACTGATGTTGTTTTTGTTTTTGTTTTTGTTTTTTGAGACAGGGTTTCTCTGTGTAGTCCTGGCTGTCCTAGAACTTACTCTGTAGACCAGGCTGGCCTCAAAATCAGAAATCCGCCTGCCTCTGCCTCCCAAGTGCTGGGATTAAAGGTGTGTACCACCACCGCCTCGCACAGCCAGAGTCTGTATCTTAATGGATATTGATTAAAGGCTAAATGCCATTTATTTTTTAGGGTAATGTCTTTTGTGTCCCCAAAATCTAAATGAAGGAAAATTGAAAATGTATAGCCACTAGAAAGACTAGGAAAGCACAAATGTAGTGAGTCCTTTATATTTGATTCTCTCAAGAAAATAGTGTCATCATTTTTTATGACAGTGTATGAACACTGGGAGAAATGCTGCTGATCATGCTAAAAACGTTGGATGGGGTGGTGCGGGAGGGGTAACCAGAAAGTGGAGTATCATTTCAGATTTAAATGAATGGAATGATCAATAATTAAAAAAAAATTCCAAGTCAAACAGCAATTGGGAGCCACTGTATAAGTCACCACAGATCCTCATGTCACTGGAGCCCTGGAAATGAGTTTCTATTACCTGCTGAGAAAGGCATGAAGTAGTCACTTTTCTTAAAGTTTCCATTCCCATCTAGAAAGTGGCCAGGGTCAAACACCTCTGGATTGGGGAACTCCTTACTGTCATGCAGCACTGATGTCAGTGACATCATTACTTTTGTCCCCTGCAAACAAGACACAACAGAAAAAGGTATGTACAAATATATCGGAGTACTAAACATTATTCACCTTTTCCTCCATAGAAGAAGTACAAAAATAGTAGGGAAATTTCAACAGAAAAACAATGCAAGGAACAGGGAGGAGTCTGATATTAGCCACAGTGGTGTGAGTAAGGTGCCTTCAGTGATAATTGAAGTCTGCATTGGGTATTTATTGCTAATGCTGCTCACTCTTTTCATTTTTCCTTCAGTTTTAGCTCATCACCTGCTGCTCTAGATTGTCAACTGGTTTTCACTGGTCACATGGGTCATGATTTCAAATGGAGACTTGCTTTCTATGTGAAACAAATAGGAAGACATCAATCCTGATAAATAAACAAGGTCTAGACAGACAGTTTTTACTTATTTTTCATCATGAACATAATTCAGGTTTTACATGCCATTGATGAAAGTGTTTGCTCTCACACACAAAGTTTATGTATATAAAGGTAAATGCAAATCAACAAACAGAAGGGAGACAATGGAAGGATAGAAATTTTCATAGGATGAAATACAACTTCTTCTCCCATTTTTGTTTGTATTTATTCTTCTCTCATACATAATACCCTAACAGGGGCCTCTCTTCCCTCAACTCCTCCGATTTTACTCATTAACCTCCTATTTACCCAAGATCCACTGCCCTACTCTTTGCTTTCATAAATAATAAAAATAACTAAATAAATAAATAAATAAATAAACGAACAAATAAAACCCCCAAAAAACAAAAAAAAAATGCTCCCCCATGGATATCACCTAAACATGTCACAACAAGGTCTACTAAGACTAGGCATGAGCTCTCATATTAAAGCATGACAAGGAAACTTGATTTGAAACAAATGTTCTTCCTACTAAGAAGAACGGGGATAAAAGTGACACATCCCACTCCCATTGTTAGAGGTCGCACTAGAACACCAATCCAAACAACCATAATGTATTTTCAGAGTACCTAGTGCGGACTCATGTAGGCTCTAAAATTGTACCTACTGTATCTGTAACTACCTATGAGCCCCCCTTAGTTGATTCTGTATGTCATATTCTCCTGGTGTCTTCCTCCCCTCTCTCTCCAACAATCTTACCTCACCTTCTCTGGTGGTGTTTCCTAAGTTCAACATAATATTTGGCTGTGGGTCTCTGCCTCTGCCCCTATCCACAGCCTTAGTAAATCCTTTGATGACTATATTAGGCACTAATGTAGCAGAATACTTTAGAAATAAGTTAATTGATTTTTTTGCCAAGTGTATTCATCTTCATTATAAGATCCTGTGTTGTTCAACATTCAATTTCTGAACATCTACATCTAGACTGTGTCCAGCCTTTGGCCCCTGATTTGTCATGAGACTCAATTTACAACAATCTCACAAGTTCTGACCTGCCATAACTTCAGAACATTTTCCAGGAAGGACAAATTGTAGGTTGAAAATTTTATGCCTGAGTAGGTGTCCTAGTCCCAGAAGTGGAATCCTTGTCTGGTGAAGTAAATGTCTAGTTCAGGCCCATTATTTCTTAATACTAGGAGTCTTTTCTAGGGTTTCCATTTTATATCCAATGGAGTTTCTATTGCACTGGATTTCCACAAACATTTCCAAACACTAAGCAATTCAAATCATGTCTTCCTCAACACTTTAGTTTCATCCCCCTTGTAATTTAACCTGTCATGGTCTGTGGATTGTGTCATGATTATCTTTTACTTAATAACTAATATCCACTGATAGGTCAGTACATACCATGTTTGTCTTCTCTGTGTCTGGGTTACCTCGATGATGGTAAATTTTTTCTAGTTCCTTCCATTTGCCTGAATATTTCATGAAGTCATTTTTGTGACAGCTGATTAATATACCAGTCTGTCAGTATATCACAATTTCCCTATCCATTCCTTAGTTGAGGGGCATCTTGGTTGTCCTATTTCTGGGTATTTTGAATAAATTCTCCATGAATATAATTGAGCAAATATCCTTGTTCTGGAATGTATCATCTTTTAGGTATATAACTGAAAGTAGAAAAGCTGACTCTTGAAATAGATTGATCCAAGTTTTCTGAGAAACTGTTATATTCATTCTATTAAATATTCTTCCTGTTTGCACTCCCAACAGCAATACAAGTGTGGTCCCATTGGTTCACCTCCTGGCCAGCATTAACTGTTACTTATGAAATTGATTATACCTATGGTGACAGGTATAAGATGAAATCTCAAATTATTTTGATTTGCATTTTCCTGATGGATAAGGATGTTGAATATTTCTTTTTTTATTGGATATTTTCTTTATTTACATAACAAATGTTGCCTCCTTTCCTGTTTCCACATGGAATAACCCTATTCCAGCCCTCTCCACATGCATCTATGATGGAATTCCCCCAAAGAATGACCAACTCCTGCCTTCCCACCCTGACATTACCCTACATTGGGGTGTCCAGCCTTCACAGACCAAAGGCTACTTATCCTATTAATGACTTAAATGCCCATCCTCTGCTACATATGTGGATGGAGCCATGGGTCCCTTCACGTTCACACTCTCATTGGTGATTAGTCCTTGAGAGCTCTGGGGTTGAGGGTCTGGGTGGTTGATATTTATGTTCTTCCTATGGGGTTGAAAACCCCTTCAGCTCCTTCAGCCTTTTCTCTAACTCCTCCTTTATGGATCATATGCTCAGTCTAATGGGAGACTATGAGCACCTGCCTCTGTATTTGTCAGGCTCTGGAAGAGCCTCTCTGGAGACAACTTCATCGGTGTCCTGTCAGCATGCACTTCTTGGCTTCCAAAAATAATGTCTGGGTTTGATGACTGTTAATGGGATGAATCCCCACGTGGGCCAGTACCTGGATTACCATTCTATTAGTCTCTACTTCACAATATGTCTCTGTAATTCCTCCAGAATTTTGTTCGACCCTCTAAGAAGGATCAACACACTCACACTTTGGTCTTCCTTCTTCTTGAGTTTTATGTGGACTAAGAATTGTGTCTTGGATATTACAAGCTTTTGGGCTACTATCTACTTATCAGTGTGTGCATACCATGGCTGTTCTTTTGTGACTGGGTTACATCACTCAAGAAGATATTTTCTAGTTCCAATCATTTACCTTAGTATTTCATGAAGTCTTTATTTTTTATAGTTGAGTAGTACTCCTTTGTGCAAATGTATCACGTTTTCTGTATCCATTCCTGTTTCGAAGGATATCTGGATTATTTCCAGCTTCTGTCTATTATAAATAAGGCTACTATGAACATAGTGGAGCATGTGTACTTGTTATATATTGGAGCATCTTTTGGGTATATTCACAGGAGTGGTACATCTTGGTCCTCAGATAGTAGTGTATCCAAGTTTTTGAGGAACCGCCTGACTGATTTCCAGAGTAGATATACCAGCTTTGAATCCCAGTAACAATGGCAGAGTGTTCCCCTTTCACAGTATCCTTGCCAGTATCTGCTGTTACCTTAGTTTTTGATCTTAGCCAGTCTAAATCCTGTGAGCTGGACTCTAAGAGTTGTTTTGATTTGCCATTCCCTGATGTCTAAGGATGTTGAACATTTTTGGGATGAAGCAGGAATTATTCCTTATATGTAAATCCACCAATGTAAACCACAACATAAAAAACTCAAAGTAAAAAAACATGATCATCTAATTAGATGCTGTGAAATCATTTGTCAAAATTCAACACCCCTTCATGGTAAAATACTTGGAAAGATCAGGAATTCAAGGCCCATACCTAAATATACTAAAAGTGATATACAGATAACCAGTAGCCAACATTAAACTAAAAGGAGAGAAACTAGAAGGAATCCCACTAAAATTAGTGACTTGGCAAGGCTGTACACTCTCTCTCTCTACCTGTTTAATATAGTACTCAAAGTCTTACTTTAGACAAGAAACAGATCTCAAATGGATACACATTTAAAAGGAAGAAGTAAATATCATTCTCTGCAGATGATATGGTAGTATACTTAAGTGGCCCAAAACTTCCACCAGAGAACTCCTAAACCTGATAAATAACTTCAGCAATGTGGCTGAATATGAACTTAACTCAATCAGTAGTCTTCCTATACTTTAGACATTTGGCTACAACTTAATATAATAGAATCATTTTTCAAATTATGTAAAGTCTTTCAATATCAGAGAAATATTAGTTATATTGATCAGAAATGTTACAAATACGCCTATATATCAGTTGTTCTTCTTCATTATTAAGTCATCTTTACCTCATAATGCCTATGTCAACCTCATCATTTCTCTAGATGAATCATGTATTAATAGTATAAATTACATTTTCAGTTTGTGGAGTCATTTTTATTCTCTGTGTGGGTACATATCCCAACTGTCCTTATATACTTCTATAGTTATTATATTTTCATGAATTTAGAAATTAATAAAAGTACAAATTAATGATTTCTGAAATTCATCCATTGGGTCAATAATAACTTAATGACAATAAAGTACAAACAAATTAAAATAAACGTATAGATAAAATGGTAACCAGAAGTCACCTTGAATTCTGCATATATTTTCCAAGAAAACACCAGTGACTAGTAAAATATGTGAGATTAGGTAAAATAAAATCAAATAATGATTAAGTCATTTTTATACACCAGGATTAGATAATGATAACAAAAAAAATTCATTGTTCTCTTAAACTCAAAACTACATACAAGCTATATCATTGAAATGAAATTATTATGACTAAAATAAACCAAACATAAGTCAAGGTTTGATATAGCCTTTTTCATGAGTTGAAGAATTAAGCACATAAACTCCATTTAAGTACTTGTAGATTTTCTTATCGATAATAAAAAATTAAAAAAGAGTTTTAGTGAGTTCAACACAAGTTGGAAAATATACTTGAAATCACAGCCTATTTTCTTCCAATAATTTTTGAAAGGGGAAACAAATGTGGAATTGCTACTACCATGTCCCTGCCTGCTTAGAGACTCTTTCCCAATTATGAACTAGCAGAATCAATTCAGAGCAGCAGTTTGATGGAGAGGACTAGAACCACACTGAAACTGGAAACATCAAGAGCATAGAAGTGTAGCAGAAAGAAACAAGCTTACCTTGGGTATGATGTAGTTTCTGAATTTAGTGTCATAGATCACTTCATGGAGCACACTGTTTGTGGGAATGCCAATGAATCTCTGGACCTCATATACCATGGCATTTGTGTAGGGCATGTGCCTCCTGTCCTGCATACAGGGGCTGCAGTGTCTCCCAATCACGTGGTCAATCTCTTCCTGGACTTTAGCTGGATATAAGAAATGTCAAATTTTCAGATAAGAAAAACATAGCTTGTATCAGGCCTTAATTCACAGCAACCTAGGCCATAAAGAAAGTGACCCAGTAACATGTCAAACATAAATTTCAAGTGGAGATGTAAACATACATACATAGGATTATTGTAATACATACTTATACGTTTATTGTATCACATAACTAATATGAATCATAATAATATGCTAAGTGTTCTATCCATAGTATCAAGTAATATGAGATATAATAAATATTGGTAACAATCGGTACAATTTGGCATTATTGACATTAATAGATTGTATTAGAAATAAGTCATTAAAATGGTGAATATATGCAGTATGTATTATAAAATTATGGATCTGAAGGTCTTTTTGCAATTTTATTCTACCTATTTTATTGCTTACTATCAGTGGACAGATTAATCAAAAACAAGTACCTAGAAATTTATTTGTATTTTAAACAATAACTGTTTTTATGTACTCAATTATCCACAACATTTATTGAGACACTGGTATCAGAAAAGAACATACCAGTTAACTTATATGCTATTTGTAAATACATATCTGCAAGGAGATAATGAACAAACATACATATTATAAACACATGAGTTTACATACATGCACCATTTTTAGATTGTCATATTTAGTAATATAGACAAATTGTAGAAAGAATTGCAGATACATAAATATGATTACCTATCTCCAATATAAGGGTGAATTTATGTTATTGATATACTTTCTGATTAATGCGTGCTGTTCATTTCAGTTTGTTATTTTCCCTCTTATGATTTAGAGGTAATTCCAAGTATTCAAGTGGGTGATTCAGTTCCCGGAATAAACGTGCACTTAATGAAGACATGAGAAGACCCATTACTTCTGTGTTGTCCCTCATTCTCTGTCCATCCCTGCAGCTTCCACCAGATGAATACCAAATCTGGGCCTTTCCAATGCTAATGTCCAGAATCTTCTCTGAAAGTGTCACCTACTCTTATAGGCTATACAGGTATCTAGACTTAATTGCTTCCTGCAAAGTTACTTTATACAATTGAATAGGAAAGCTCCTACAAGGTTTCATAAAGAAAGTAACATAGGGAGCAAAATTTACAGTTGGAAATCTATCTTTGTATTATGCTTTGCAATGCATAATGCTATCAATAATGTGCTCTTGAAGATTATGGTGTAGTGTGAAAATTTTAAGTGTGGATTGTGTATGAACCTCAACATCTTTGTGCTTCCATTCCACTGTTTACATTCTGTTCTTTATTTTACAATTTCCGATGTATGTTTGGAAAAAAAATTGTCTATATAAAACTCAGAGATGTTTATTATGCATTACATTCTGGGTGGTAGATTCAGTAGTTGATATTCATGAAAGGTTGGAGAAAAGAGCTCTGAGACTCTCTAGTCAAAATTGCCAGTTCTCCACTTTAATCCTCTATATTATTCTTTCCCTGCCAACCTTTCAATGTTCTTTTACACATAGATTTCTGTTGACTTTATAAAGTAATTCCATGTTTTCTGTGTGGATAACTCTCACCTGAAGAATGGAGTAATTAAGGAAACAGTGGGCAGAGCAACCTCTGGTTTCCAACTTGGTTTTCTACTTAAAATTGTTAGATGCAAAGAGGAAACCATTGGGACACTGTAGAGGAACAGTATGCTTTTCTTATTCTATAGAAATTTTATGAGAATATGTTCCTCCATCTTCTTCCAGGATATTTCTCCCCTCACTCTTTATTACTATTGTATTACAGTTACATTATGAAAAATTCTGTTGTTTACTGTTGTCTTGTTATCCTACCATAAATGATGTAAATCTGTCTAATAATTATTCTATTGTTATTTCAGTGAATATTGACACAGAATGGAAGGTGTGTTTCATTACTGTTGAATGTCTGGATCTATTTACACATACAATTTTACAGTATTCTTATTTGAAAAACAAAACTTTTGGTATATTAGGAAAAATACTGTTCTTCAGCATTTTTATTGAACCTGATAAACTCTCTATACTATAAATTAGACATCATAAAATTGATATTGAAAGCAATATATTCATTATGAACAAAACAAGTTAAAATGCTTCATAGAATAAAAGAAATTCTCAGGAAAACACCTTAAATAATGGACTATATTTTATGGCTTAATGAGCTGAGTTTTCTTTTATCTACCACAGAGTTAAATTTATCACAATGAAGAAAGGAAATGCAAGAATTTGTATGCTCAGTAGGCCTCAACTTGAGGATGAAAACATTATGTAACCACGGTCCAATGCATGCTCAAGCTGCTTACCACACCTGCCAGAGAACTGAGACAAATGAATAACCTTGATGGCTTTTTCAACAGCTAAGGTCTCTTTATTTCATTTGGTTTTCATTCTCATTAAAGCCAATGGAATAGAAAATTGACTACTGACATTTTGAATAACAACGTGCAGGATACCATCTCCATCTTTCTAGAGTCTCCCAGGAATGCTATGCATCATCACCTATGTCCTTACCTGTGATGTGTGGGTGCTTCATCAAGAGCAGGAGAGCAAATCTCATTGTTGAGCTTAAAGACTCTGTCCCACCAACAAACAGGGAAGTCACAAATGATACCATGTGTTCTGGTGCATAGTTCAACTGCTGTTTGCCATTTTCCTAAGAATGGTTTGATTCAATTATCTGATACATATTGTCCTTGAACAATCAACTAAAATTGAATACACAATATTTGTCAAATCTATTTTTTGATAACATAGAACGTAGAAAGTTCATCACTGGCAAAAACTATTTAAAAAAACCTTATTTTTTCTGTTTGTCAAAATTGCATCCCCAAAATTATCTTCTCCTTTCTTCTTCTTCTTCTTCTTCTTCTTCTTCTTCTTCTTCTTCTTCTTCTTCTTCTTCTTCTCCTCTCTCTCTCTCTCTCTCTCTCTCTCTCTCTCTCTCTCTCTCCCCCCCCTCCCTACTTCACTGCTCTCTCTCTCTCTCTCTCTGTGACTAAAGTGCATAATAAGTTTACAGAAAATATGAAGAGAAACTTATTTTGTTTATTGTCTATTCCAATTAAAACACATGTAAGGAAAGATTTAGTTTTCATCTTATCTGCACACAAAGATATGCATTTATTCAGAGAAACCTACACATTTAACATAGTAAGACTCTTGAAAGATGCTTGACTATAATGCTTTATGTCTTCTTTGTTATATCAACACCGAGTTGCAATAAGTCGCTTTGTACCTAAGTTCCATAGATATTTTTTAATATTATTAAGCAGTCCTGATTAGACTTCCCTTTGTTTGTTAGGAAGCACAATTGGATTTGTACACATAGGAAAGTTGGAGCCATTATGCTAGTTGCTTCAAGTCTGTAAAAGAATTTGCTTTAAATTTTTTCTCAGAGTTTTTTATGAACTAACAATAACAGCACAGTCTACACAAAGTTTAAGTTTTATAAATCTGGTAATGAATCACTCCAAACAAGATTAGGTTCACAGTCAGTACAACCAGGCTCAATCTATGAGAATGTCAATTAGCAATATGATCTAGGTAATAAGGAAGGATTGATAATGCATATGTAAAGACAAGATATTAAGTCATGAAGACAGAACATGACACATTTGTGACCTTTAGAAGAGAAAGCTGAGAAGGAGATGAATGTAGGTGACAAAGCTGCAAACATGCTGTGATACAGGATTGTAAACAAGGTTATAGCTTAAATGTTGAGGCAGGATAAGAAATAACACATAATTATTTTTTCTGTCATTTTGATATCCTCAACTTCTCTAGATTTCCTTCAGGCAATCTAATATTTTATAACCAACATTATCAAAACACTAGCATTCTCTGTTTTGTTACCAACCAGACAAAGACACTCATCTCCCTTTGTAATGTAGTTTAATGATTTTTTCTAACCATGTGGCATTTATGGCTTGAAAACATCTTCAATAAATGGTGCTGGTCTAACTGGAGGTGTGTACGTTGGAGAATGAAAATAGATCCATATTTATCACTTTACATAGTGCTCAAGTCCAAGTGGATCAAAGACCTCAACATAAAACCAAATCCACTGAATATTTTTTATTAACCATTTTATTAGTTTATATTTTAAATATTATCTCTCTTTCCAGGCTCCCTTCCACAAATTCCTCAACCCATTGGTGTCCAATTTGTCTCTACCTGGGTGCTTCTCCACCCATCCACTAATGCCCACCATAACCCTCAAGAATCTCCCTTCTCTTGAGCATCAAGTTTCCATGGGACTAATTGCCTCTTCTCCAACTGATACCAGGTAGGGAAGTCCATTGGTACAAATATGGCCAAAGTCATGCAGCAACCCATATGCATACTTTGGTTGATGATATAGTCTCTGAGATTTCTGAGCATTATAGTTAATTCATACTGTTGTTCTTCAAATGGATTTGCAAACCCATTCATCTCCTTCAGCCCTTTCCCTAACTTTTTGATTATACTTCCCAGGCTTGGTTCTATGGTTGGCTCTGAGCAAATAGATTGGTCTTAGTCAGGAACTGGCAGAGCCTTTTAAAGGACAGTCTTACCAAGTTTCTGTCTGTAAGTACATCCTTGCATCATGAATAGTGTTAGGGTTTAATGTCTGTGGATTGAATGGATTATATGGTGGGGTGGTCTCTAGATGGTCATTCCTTCAGCTTCTGCTCCAGTTTTATCACATTTCCTTTAGACAGGGACAATTTTTTTTTTCAAAATTTTATGATATGTGGGTGGCCCCAACCCTCAACTGGGGGCTATTTATATCTACTTTGGTATATATTTAATAATAACAGGAAATCAAATTAGTAACAAAAATCTTTCCTCAAATATAATCTTCTCAGTCTTACTTACACAACCAAAATAATCATAGATTTACAGTCCATAATAGAACCATCTCAGGAAGATTATCTGTTAATTTTTAGCTTCTCTATGATGGCTCCTGGCAACTTATAAAATATAATGTTACTCAGCTGATAAAATAATTAAAAATTTAAAAAATACTTTGGTGAAAAATACTTGAAAACTATATTTAAGATCACTTTAATATAAACATCAACAATGATCAAATCAGCTTCCTAATAGATAAGTAATACTTCTATCAAAGTATAAGCTTTGATGTCCAGATTATGCTGACTCCTATGTAAACAAAACTCCCCTACACTTTGTATAAGAACTTAAAAATCAAAAATAAAGGCTCTTATATCTATTAAAATGTCCATTATTTTTTGAAAACTTTAGGTTTTTTTTTCACAAAAGCAAATATGAAATTATGGTTTGAATGAGAAACCTCATTATTGGTGATATACATGCAGAAAAATTCAATATGCCATCAAGAAACATCTGCACAGATATTCATAGATTAATAGCTGAGAAAACTGTAAAGTAGAACAAATGCAAAGATCCATAAATGATGAATAAGTGGATTATAGTTCCGATGTTTGTAAACTGATGTTTGTAGTATCAGAAAAAGCTAGTACAGAAAGAAGCTGGCATATTAAGGGCAATCTATAAAGATCAACAGCTTGTCTGCTCCTCTGAATACACCACAGTCTCAAAGCCTCCCAGGAGTTCCACTGCACACAGGGCATCCAGTAAGGGAATGTCCCAAACAGCTGTAATAGGTGGGAACCCTGAGGAGCTCAGTAAACTTGGAACTCATCAACCCCAAGAACCCTCAACTCCTGAATTTCATTATATTTCCAGCCTGTGCTTTCTGTCAGGACAGATGTGCATGCCTGCTCCTCTGAAGAAACCACAGTCTGAAGGCCTCCCAGGAATTCTACTGCATGTAGGGCAATAGGCACCACAGTCTGAAGACCTTCTAGGAGTTCTACTGCATGCAGGGCAACTGACCAAACAGTATGAAAGCCTCCCAGGAGCTCTACTGCACACAAGGCAACATACTCAACAGTCTGAATGTTTCCCAAGAGAAGAGCTACTACACATAGGACAACAACTGAACTGGTCCTTTGAAAACCCATCAGTGTAAAAGTCTCCCAGGAGATATGAAGCAGCCAAGACAATAGTTCAGCAACTTGTCTGCTTCCTAAAGACCCCACAGTCTGAAGGCCTCCCAGAACATCCACTGCAGCCAGGGCAGCAGGTCACCAGCATACATGTAACTCTGAAGATCTAACAGTCTGAAAGCCACACAGGAGGTCTGCTATGACCAGAGACTCAGATCTCTGATGAGATCTGCAGCAACACAGGGACACAGATGTCAGTTTCCAGGCATAGACACCCAGATCAGATAATACCAGGGATAACAAGATGTTAAGAGGCAAACACAAGATCATAAGCAACAGAAGCTAGTATTCTTTGGCACCATTCTTTGGCTTGTTTTCCCACCACAGCAAGCCCAGAATACACCAAAACACCTTAAAATCAGGAAGCCGACCTAAAATCCTATGTCATGAAGATAATAGGGTTCTTTAAGAAGGATATAAATAACTCACTGAAAGAAATACAGGAAAACCCAAGTAAACAGTTAAACAGGCCTTAATGAGGAAACAAATAAATCCCTTAAGAAATTCAGAAAAATAATAACAAACAGGTGATGAAATTGAACAAAATGTTCCAAGACCTAAAAATGGAAATAGAAACAATAAAAAAAAAAAAACACAACTTGGGACAACCATTGAAATGGAAAACCTAGGAACAAGGTCAGGTGCTGGGTTAAGGGGGAGATCACTAGTCTGCCTAGCCACAGGCACAGGTATGCTTAGGAAGGCAGAACACGGGAATTTTGACTTTGATTACCTCACACTGGTGTAGGGCAGGAATTGGGCTGTAAGAAGCTACAGGACATCACTCTAGGAGTGTGGAGCTCAGTCCGAGGTCCTGGGAACAGCAGGAGCGGGCTCGAGGTCCCTGGGCCTGCAGGGCAGCCAGGAACCATCTGATTCTTAGATTCTTGGGTAGCCAGGTGTTGCTAGAAGCTGTGAAAAAGCCGAGAATGGAGTGCTGTTCCATAGGCTGCATACAGCCTGCGGCAGAAGAGGAAAATGGGGAGAGTGCTTTGGCTGGGTCCCACAGGGAGATGAGTCCTTGGCTTGGACAGCAAGTGGCTGAATTGGCTTGATGGTCTCTGTGGCTGAGAGTACTGAGAAGCCTTCTGCAGGAGATTAGACACGACTCTCTAGGTAAGGCCTTCTCTATTGCTCCCCACGTTGAATCCCTATAAAAAGAGGCCTTCCATAGTTTATAGTATTTGTTGTTATGGCAGAGAGAAGATGAGTGAAAACCATACAACATTTTCTCAGGGCGGGCCTGAGATTAAATATCTTTTGCAGGGAGGAGTATCTGAAGAAGGAAAGCTTAGTTAGATAAGCCCTTCTGGCCTTTCAGTACCTCATTAAAATGAAGATATGTCTTGAAGCAAATTGACCTGTAATCATGTCCTCTATCTGTGAAGGGGCTTCAGGAATTGGCCTTATTTGAGTGATGGCCACAAATCTGTAGAGTGCTGCAGCCTCATGTCAGGAGTTTAGGTTCTGAGAATCAGGCAAAACTCCTAACATCCCTTAGGATCACCAGAGTTTCCAAACTTAGGTCAACTAGAAACCAGGCTGCCTTTGAGGGCCCTACAGTGAGAAACTATGAATGCAAGCATCAACAACAGAATACAAGAGATAGAAGAGAAAATGTCAGGTGTAGAAAATACCTTAGAATATATTGACACAACTGTCAAAGAAAAATCAAAATATGAAAAACTCTTAACCCCAAACATCCAGAAAATCTAGTACACAAGGGAAAGATCAAATCTAAGAATAATAGAAATAGAGAAGAGCAAAAATTCTTACCTCAAGAAACCCAAAATTCACTTTTACAAAATTATAGAAGAAAACTTTCCTAATCTAAAGAAAGAGATGGGCATACATGTACAAGAAGCCTACAGAATACCAAATAAATTGGATCAGAAAATAAAACCCTCTTGTCACATAATAATCAAATCATTGAATGCACTGTAAAAAGAAAGAATATTAAAAGCTTAAAGGGAAAATGTCCAACTAACATAAAAGGTAGACCCATCAGAATTACACCAGAATTTTCAAAAAAGACAATAAAAGCCAATAGAGCCTGGATAGAGATCATGCAACCCCTAAGAGAACATGAATGCCAGCCCATGCTACTATACCCAGCAAACTCTAAATCAACATAGATGTAGAAATCAAAATATTACAGGACATAACCAAATTGAAATAATATCTATCTACAGATATAGCCCTATAAAGAATTCTAGAAGGAAAACTCCAACATAAAGAGGGTAGCTACATCAAAGAAAAAACAAGATTTTAATCATGTCAAATCAAAACAAAAAGAAGAGAATCAAATACACACAATGTCACCTTCAACAATAAGCATAACAAGAATTAACAATCATCTGTCTTTAATATGGCTCAATACAAACTGACTCAACCCCCCAATAGAAACACGTAAACTAAGAAAGCAACTGAATCCAGAATTTTGCTGCATACAAGAAACTCACCTCAATAACAAAGACAGACACCACCTCAGAGTGAAAGGCTAAGAAAATATCTTCCAAGAAAATGATACCAAGAAACAAGCTGGAGTTGACATCCTAATTTCCAATGAAACAGGCTTTTAGTCAAAAGTTATGAAGCCAGATGGGGAGTTACACATTATATTCATTAAATGAAAAACCCACAAAGAGAAAGTCTCAATTCTAAACATCTATTTTGAAATGCAAAAGCACCCATATTCATAAAAGCAGCTTTGCTAAAACACATAGCACACATTGAATCCCACACAATAATAATGGGAGACTTTAACACCACAATCTCAATAATGGAAGGTCACTGAATCAGAAACTTAACAGAGACATAGTGAAAGAAATAGAGATTATGAACCAAATGGGTTTAATAGACATCTACAGAATATTTCACCCTAAAACAAAATATTATACCTTCTTCTCAGGAAATCAATGTACATTTGGCAAAACTAACCTAATGTAATTGGTCACAAAACAAATCTCAAAAGATATGAAAAGATTTAAAAAAAAACTGCTATGCATCCTATCAGATCACCACAGACTATGTCTGATAGTCAATACAACATAAACAAAAGAAAACCCACATACATATAAAAACCGATCAATTCTCTACTCAATGAAAACTTGGTCAAGGAAGAAATTAAGAAAGAAATTAAAATTTTCTAACACCTCTCAAGATGTTTTAACTTTGCTTAGTGAGATAAAATTATGAATTTAAAAAATGCTGCTCTGCTGAGCTTTGATGCTGCAGATACAACTTATAAAAATATTTATGGTGTGATGTCAGTATTTCTACATTGTTCAAGCTTCAAGAATAGCATATACGCCTTGATCATGCTAGCCCTTATTGTCTTGGGAATACTTTTATTCCTGCCCATCATGTTAAAGCTTGTCTTTAAAAACATCAGCATGTTGGCAGCCAAAGTACATGGCTTGAAACTGAAAATGGACCCCAAGACAGAGTTATTAAATTAACCAGCTGGCAAGCCAAGGATGAGTAAGATTTTGCACAGGATCTTACCAACCTAAGACAGAAGTGCATTGCTTTTGATAACTCATATTCCATGATCGGTAAGGAATGCATTCTTATCAGAATGACCTAAGACTGGCTCAGTCTTGTTTATGAAATAAAAAAAGGGGAGATGTGGAGAGCTTTTAAGATTGCTTGGCAAAAATTTGACATTGGCCAATAAAAAGGAAATGGGCTGCTTGGTTAGAATCTGACATTGATCAAAGACAACTAAATGGGCTTCAGGAAGGGATCTGTCATTAGGGTAAAACAAAGAAGTAATTTCAGGTAGGAATCTAAATCTTAGGCTAGAACAAAAAAGTAGGCTTTGGGCATGAAAATGGCTTTGGACTAGGACAGGGAAGTAGGATCAGATATTTTGGTCATCCTGATAAACCATTAGAAACAGTGATCACAGGAGTGATCACTGGACTTTGTTTATTGCCTTGCTTGCTCTTTGATTATTTGTGTTTATTGTCTTGCTTGTTCCTTGACTATTTGTATCTAATTTATTCCTAGTTGCACAACCTAGTACTTCCCTTAATGCTTGCATGTAATTAAAATGGTATCAAAGCAGACTGAGAAAAAAAAAGAAAATAAAGGGATTAAACCCGGGCTATAATATGTCAACCTGCATATATAAACCATGGAGTATTTATAAAGATCTTACAGTCACTCTGCTTATTTTGTAATTAAGTGAAAGAATTAAAGTGGTGGTCAATGAGTAAAATGTTACCTATCATAAACTTTATTAAGAAAATAAAAGCAAAATGTTATGTACTTGAAAAAATTACTGGAATTCAATGAAAGTGAGGATATAGCAGACTCAAACTAATGGGACACAATGAAAACAGTGTTAAGAAAAAATTTGTAGCACTTCGTGCTTTGGTAAAGAAATTGGAAAAACTCTACACAAGCATCTTGACAGCAAACCTGAGAGCTCTAGGACAAAAAGAAGCAAGCACACCCAAGACAAGTAGAATGCAGGAACTATTTAAATTCAGGGCATAAAGCAACCAAATATAAACAAAGAGAATGATACAAAGATCCAACAAGCCAAAAGCTAGTTCTTTGAAAGAATCAGCGAGATAGATAAACCCATAGTCAAAGTAACTAAAGGGCCCAGTGAAAATATTCAAATTAACAATATCAAAAATGAAAAAGGAGATATAACAATAGAAATGGAAACTTGAAAAGTCTTAGTATCTTTCAACAAAAGCCTATATTTAATAAAATTGGAAAATGTAGAAGAAATGGATGAATTTCTAGACAGGTACCATGTATCAAAGTTAAATCAAGAGTGGGAAAGCTATCTAAACAGGCTCATACCCACTTTTTAGTGAAAAAGAAGTCACTAAAAACTTCCCAACCAAAAAAAGGGCAGGGTAAGATGGTTTAGGGCAAGATGATATCAGATATTCAAAGAAGAGCTAATATCAATACTTCTCAAATTAGTCCATAAAATGGAAATAAAACGAATTCTAGCTAATTCATTCTATGAATGTATAATTACACTGATGCCTAAGCCATACACAGACCCCCCCCCAAAAAAAGAGAACTTTCAATATTGCTTTTGAATATTGAAGTAAAAATACTCAGTAAAATTCTTGCAACCTGAATCCAAGAACTCATCAAAATCATATCTCATAATTATCAAGTAGGCTTCATCCAAGGGATTACAAAGTTGGTTCAATATATAAAAATCTATTAATGTAATCAACCATATAAATAAAGTCAAAGAAAAATCACATGATAACCTCAGGAGATGTGGAAAAAAACATTTGACAAAATATAAGACCCATTCATGTTAAAAGTGTTGTAGTGATCAGGAATTCAAAGCTTATACCTAAACATAATGAAAGCAATATATAGCAAACCAACAGCGAATCAAAACAAACAACCATGATATTTCACCTTATACCAATCAGAATGGCTAAGATTAAAAACTCAGATTACATCACATGCGAGTGAGGATATGGAGAAAGAGGAATAACAACTCTGGACATCAATATTGAGGTTATTCGGAAAAATGGAAATAGATCTACCTGAAGATCCAGATATACAACTCTGAGCATATGCCCAAAAGATTCCCCTATAATGCCACAAGGGCACTTGTTCCACTGTTTCAATAGCAGCCTTATTTGTGATATCCAGAATCTGGAAACAAACCAGATGTCCCAAAGTGAAAATGAATACAGAAAACGTGTCTCATGCACACAATGTCATACTACTCAGTTATTAAAAACAAGGATAACTTGAGTTTTGCAGGCAAATGGATAGAACAAAAATATCTTCTTCATTGAGTTAAAGCAGACTCAAAAATATATATGGTATGTGCTCATTAATAAGTAAATATTAATAAAAAAATATACAGAATACACAAGATACAGTCCTTAGAACTTAAGAATGTTAACTAACCAAAGGGCCAAAGTTAGGATGCCACAATCCCATTTGGAAGGGAGAAAAGAGCAATAACTGGGGGTCGGGGGGAAAAAGGAGGGCCCTGGGTGAGAGATGGCACAGGAAGAGTAAAATGGGAATATGATCAGGTAATGGGGTCGGAAACAAGATTGAAGCCCTCAGGACCAGCAGAAAGAATGGAAACACGCAACCTCAGTAGAGCGGAGGTAGAGTATCCTCTAGAATGTACCAGAGACCTGGGAAGTTAGAGACTTTCAGGACTCAAATGAAAGGACATTAGATGAAATGTCCTTCAGTGGAGTGAGGGAAATTGTAGAGTCTACTTCCAGTAGAAAGGTAGGATATCAAGTGGAGGAATGAGGTTACCATCTCACAGTCAAAGATAATGACACAGATTTATACTTCCTAAAAGAACTGCAGGGACAAAATAGACAAAAGACTGAGGAAAGGAGTTCCAGTGACAGGCCCAAATTGGGATACAGTTCAAAGGGAGCTTCAAGGACTGACAGTATTACTGATGCTATGGTGTACTTACAGATATGAGCCTAACATGGCTGCCCTCTGAGAGGCCCAACAAGCAGATGAAAAAGACACGTGCAGATACTTAACTCCAACCAATGGACAGACACTGGGCACCCCCGTGGTTCAGTTAGGGAAAAGCTGGAACAAATGAGGAGTAGGGTAACCTGTTAGGAAGACAAGCAGTCTCAACTAACCTCGATCCTTAAGATCTCTGAGACACTGATCACCAAACACGCAGTATACCCTAGCTGCTCTGAGGCACCTGGCAAATATACAATAGAAGATTGCCTGGTCTGGCCTCAGTGAGAGAAGATGCATCTAACCCTCCAGAGAGTAGAGGCCGAGGGAGAGAGGAGGTGTAGTGGGCTAGGGGTTGAGGGTGTGGGGACATCCTGTTGGAGACAGGGGAAGAGATATGGGTTGAGGAACAGTCAGAGAGCAGACTGGGAGCAGGATAATGACTGAATTGTAAAAAGAAAAAAAATGAAATAATAATGATAATAATGATGGTAAAACTGAATAAAAATCAACATTCATAAAAAAAAGGGGGCTATCATTGAAAAACAAGTAGCAAAGACCAGGGACTCAGAGTCTAGATTTTTTTTAAAATAGTGATAAAAAAGTTTCATTAATGGGGAACTTTGACACTGCACCTCCAGTGAAGGATATAAACAAAGGCAAAGGGAGCAGAACTGACTCCTAACAACAAACAATGTTATCAATTGTTTTTATAAATTTTAGTGTCAAAAAATTGTGGACAAAGGGTCTTTTCTCTAAAATACACAAGGCCAATAGTTAATCCTCACAGCACATCTAGTAGCCACCTATCTTTAACCTCACTAGGGCAAATTCAACAAAAATTGTCAGAATTTTCATCCACCTACTCTTTCTAATGGTACAACACAACCGTCCATTTAAAAACTTCTTTAGAGTCTAGTGTTGCAAATATGTCAATATTGTTTTAAATACATAATATACACAAGTGATCCACACACTGGCTAATGATAATGAAATTATTCATGTTAACACAGAACTTCTTATAATTTATAACCAAGTTGGAATTTGTTTCATCTTATCTATCATTTGTCTTATCATTCTACCTTGCTTGATTACTTTAAGTTTTCTTTTTTAACTTTAATTCAAAGAATAGCTCAATATGATCAATTTAACAAATTCATTCTATTTCTTCCAGTCCTACCCACACTTGTAATAAAAAAATAGTCTTTCAAGTGATACTTGCATGATTTTAAACATCACTTGTAAATTAGTAAATATTCAACGTACTATACAATCCTTGACCAATTAACTAATTGTATACTTGTACATTAACCCTTTACCTGAAGTCTTTGAATTCGTAAGTAATCAATGAAGTCATGAGGATTTGTAACATCCAATGATTCTTCATGTTCTTTAATTTTCTTCAAAAGGTAACTCTTAATATATGCATAACTTTAAAAAAATATGTTATGCCTTCCTGGACAATAATCAAGAAGCATAGGGAATGCATTGCAAACCTATAAAGAAATGCAAGAATTTCCTAAACAAATACACTGTAATTAAGCAACTAAAATGTGTTTATAACATAATACATGGCTATTTTCATTGAAAGAACAAGATATAATTGAAATTCAACTTGGATACTTTGTTTACTAATTTAATAATTCTTAATTCTAACAGAGACAACTTTCTGTAAAATGAACAAATATCATATTAAATAATTCCACATTCACATATCTTTTGAATTTATAGAATGTTCATGTTAATTACTCAATGATTCAGATAAACTCTGTTCTACAAGTTTGAATCACCATCTGATATAAATTACTACCACTCACACTTTTAAAGTGACAATAGAAATTTAAAGTTTATAGTGATCAGATTTATAAAAGAAATCTAGTTCCTGATCTTTATTTCTATCTACCCAGTTCTGATATGCAATGTCTTTTTAGAAGTAGATGGAGATTCAAAATACCCTGAAATCAATAGCACAACATACGACTTTACATTTTGTGCATGATCACACAAACATTTTATTTGAAGTGTGCAGCCAATGCCAGTTAAGGACAGGACATATATGTGAGGGTGTTTATGGTCCCTACAGTATTAAAATCTATTCTTTTCATTTTGACCTGTACCATTCATTATCAACTGTAATCCCAGCTGATCCATAAAACAACTGTAACTACTCTGTTTTCCTGAAAACTTTCATTGCCATTAATACTCTTCCTTATTTGAGAGAATGTTCTTTCTTTACTGATGTCATCATGACATCATATGATGAAAATTAGTTTAATTTTTTTAATGTAGGAATGGAACTAACAATATAAAAGAATGTCCTATAGGTGACGACTCGCATTTGAAGAAGTGAATGGTATGATTTTACAAACAATTCTGTGGAAGTTACTGAGAAAATTCATGGATAAGTAGCCAGCAGGGTTGATCGATCCTGCCATTTGCCCCTTAGATTTACTGATTGTATAGGTTAGAGCTTGGAATCCCAGATATTCTTTGCATAATATGATAGTCAGAAGTGTAGCATTAGTCACCTGGCTACTTGTTCCCTATTGATTTTAACCTGTGAGAAAGATGGTACATATGTTTTCAAAATTAAAAGTCCTTGCTTTACCTGAAACCGAGCAGGTGTAAAGAATTCATTGCACTCCTTCAATTTTTCTATCAAGCTAAGAAAATCCTTATCATCATAATCAAAATGATTCTGGAAAATAATGGAGCACCACATGTTGCAGGGAGCACATCCTATGATGAATTGGGGATCACAGGGTGAGCCTAAAAGTTTGAGACAATTTTTAAATTTTTTTAAAATACACATACATTTGAACTTGTTAACAGGTTAAAGAACTTTAGAAACTGCATGCCATAAGTTAATTATGAATACCTGGTAAGTACTAATCTGGTGGAGAATCATGATCACATGAAACTTAAAACTGACTCAGTTTTCATTCTCTCTGGTTAAATAAGGCTGTTCATTACCACATACAAGGACCTTGACTTAAATGATATAAAGTCCTAAAAATTGTCCAGTTATTTCACCATATGTTATTCAGAATTTAAAGTCAGAAGAATGCTCTGAATAAAATCTTTATTTTTATAAGCACGTATATATCTTCCAAATGTGGCCCCCACTAGTGTTCCAAAAGAAACATGCAATAACTATGAAAATACCAAAAGTTTAATGATATATATGGATTTCCTGGAGATCTCTGTGCTTATTCATAGACCTCTCACTCTAATAGATTTTTGGATTAGGTGTAGCATGTTAAGCCACTGAAGTGCTTTTGTATAAGTGTTGCACTTTGATAAGGGAGAATAGTTTTCAGCATTACACAGTTAAGCTAAGTTGCATTCATCTTTTCAAACAGCATCAATGACACTGTCTTCATCTTTGTTGTCAAATTCCAAAGATTCTACCTTTGGTACACTGACAGCCTTAGAATATACTACTTATACACTTTCATGATCAACTTATTTCTCATTACAAGAAATTTGTTTCTATACAGACTCCATGCGTTTAACAGACAGTTTAAATTTGACACGAATCATTTTGACAAATTTATTTCTGGCATATTTTCTTAGAGACCTTTTCTGATCATCTGATGAAAACTTGTGCTATCCAAAGGTCTGCATTACACATGTCCTTCAAGATATGTAGACATTTTACTTATTTCTTATATTTTTTTGTATTGAGGTCACAGTCTCCCATGTGTACTTTTTTTTCATTTTTGAAATGAATGTTCAGAGTTAATAGTCTTAAGTCTAATATGAGTTGGTACTAACAAGCTTTACAAGGATTACTTATTGTTTGTTTCTTTGGCTTGACATGTGGATGTGTTACAGAATTCTAAAAATCAGACTAGAGAACTAATATTTGGTTATATCCATTCAACATGTCTTTCAACTTATTCATTTCATGAGATCTATTGACAATGTAGCATTCTTAATATCAAACAGGGCCTGTGCTCCCAAGTCTTTTACCAAGTGATTGGGATAAACTGTAGATCTTTACAATGTCATGCATGTTGACTATGTCTCTCTTGTTTCCATTTCCTATGCTCTCAATCTTGGTAACAAAATGAGGCAAGTAGATTTGATAAAACAGGTCTGACAGAATGTCATTAACCATTGCTCAGATATTTTCTCTATTTGGTGACTTTATCAATAAGATGAAGAAATCTTTGAATGTAACTTTTTGGTGTCTTCTCTCTGAAGAGAAGGGGAAATGACTGCAAGAATTCTTGGTTCTGACTCGAAAACATTTTGATCACTGAGCATGTAAGCTCTTTCTTCTGTGCTATATTTTGTCACTATAGGTACCAGTGGATATACAAAGCTCATTCTCTCAAATAAAGAAATAAATACAATGTGGTTTGCCATAGACTGTGATAAAGAGGCACTGAAATCCTATTGGGTTGGTAGAGTTTGTGTGCTTATTTGTGGAAGGAAGGGCAAGAGGAGAATCAAATCCTACAATGCCCCTATCCATGTCAATAGTACCAATCCTGGATATTTGGAAGGGACAGTTCTATGATGCATGAGGAAATTTGAGTTCCATGTCAGTCTGGTCTATAACATAGTTCCATGAGTGTTAGATTTACTCTGAGAAATAGTATCTCTAAAATAAGTGGACAAAAAAATCAAAAAATGAGAAAGAAAACTATAACCAAAATCAAATTTAAAAAGAAATATATATATATATATATATATATATATATATATATATATATATGTGAATTAGAAGGAACAAATTAAAAAACAGAATATAAGACTCTTATATATGAAGAAAATACAATGTCAACAACTGCTATGTATTTCATGATACACTTATATGAAAAAGTGGTATGAGAGAATTCATTTTTAAGTGTCCATGCAAGGTAAAGCAAATGATTGGACAAAACACATGAGTACTTTCACAGGATCATTTTCAAGCAATGAATTTTATTATCTAAGAAATAGATGCATCATAGTAATATTCATTGTGAAAGTTAAAAACAAAACTAAAATTTGGTGGTAACTAAGCATAATGAGAGAAAATGGAGGAACAAAATATTATAAGGAAAAGCAAAGTGAAAATGCAAGATCTACTATTACAAAAATATCTTCATGATCTCAACCCAGTTTGCACTAGTATTTACTGAAAAGAAAGTAAATATTTATCATTGCATATCTTCACATTTAATATATTTAAGCAAAACTAAAATTTATGGATATTTTCCTTTAACTATCAAGATATTATATTACAAAAATATTTAAAGTGTGTGGATTATGTTGATCATGTGATTTATTTCACTTGAAGTTGAATAAATCATCAGTTATTATGCTGGTTAATTTTACTCAAGTTAACACTAACTAAAGTTAATACAAAGAAGGATGCTCAGTTGAGTAACAACTCTAGGAAACTTATCTGTGATCATGTTTCTATTCTCTTCCTTCATCACAGATGATGGAGTACACTAAGCCTGCTATGGGCAATTCCAGTCTTGAGCTTGTGGTTTTGGGCTGTAGAAAAAGGTCAGTGAGAAAGACAAGGGGAACACGCCATTTAGCTTCTATCCCCCATGTTTTCTGATGCAGTTAATGCCTCCAAGTTCCTTCTCTGAGGTCCTCCAATGGTTCCCAAAATGGTAAGTCATGTGAACACACCACCAGCTTAGTTTGGTCAATGTTTTCTGACAGAAAGAAAAATAATAACAATCTACGAGAGCATGCTTGTTTCTTTTTATTGCTTTCAGTAGTAAAAATTTCTGTGATCATAGAATCAAAATTGTGATGTTGTGGTAAAGGTGATCTTAAATTATATAGATTCAAACAAGAGTCACATGTGTTTATATTAAACATGTGGAATTTGTTGAGATTATTGATGTTATACCAGGAATTCAACAACATTTAACAACATACAATAAACAATTGTATATAGAACACTTTTAAGTAAAAAGTATGAAATGAAAGATGTTGAGGTTATTTTTGTTGTGTGTATGCCATTCATATGGTAAATAAGATTGACATTCATTTACTGTAGCTTTAAGTAAAAAATAGTCAAAATGTATTCATACAGATTTATAAAAAACAATGTAATACTTATATTGAAAGTACTGCTGACTACCAACAAGAGTGTTAGCAAAGTTACACAGATCAATTTTGTAATACAAAATCTATAAAGGTCAAGATGACTTCTAAGACTGAAGATAGTGAAATACTAGGGGCAGTGAAACTGTTTCTAGCTTAGTTTAATGAATCATTATACCAGTTTACATTCTTGCATAAATTTTGAATGCTTTTTGTTGAAGTGTGTTTTAGAAAGGTTATTAATTGACATAATAAATGTTATGCAAGAAGAAATTATAACAGATTTATGTCATGAAAGATCAGAGATACAATAGTTGATCAAAATTATATTATAATCAGCTGTGAAATGAAAAAATCCCTCACACCAGTGTTACTAAGAACTACAAACATGATTGTAAAAGACCACATAGAAACTTGAAAGAAGAAGTGCTAATATTGCACTTCAAAAAAGAAAAAAAAATAAGAAAGCAAATACTATGTTGTGAATGCTCCTTACACTTATATGGTAAACATTATCATTGACAGTCATTGTCTCATGATGACATGCAAAAAACAAATGACATTTGTATTTAGGTGAGTTTATGACTCCAATAATGCATTAAAACTAACATAAAACCTATATTCATGACATCTCATTAGAAAACAATCTTAGAATAAAATAGACAAAATTGTATCATAAAGACAAGCATAGACGAAGATATAAAAATCAGAGCCTAACCTGCACTTACCATTGGTTTTCTTTAGTTCTTTCACAAGTCACTGTGCTTCTTCTTGCACTCTGGCCTCAATGGTCCTTTCACCCATACCCAGATTCTTCATGGACGTAAGCATGAATCACCTTGTGAGTTTCCATACATTTCCATGGCTAAAGCCAAAGTCTAAAGCAATTGAAACAGACCTTATGTGCCAGGGGGGCTTCCACCGCTGTGGCGGGTCCCACATTAGAGAAAAGGTCCTATGGTTCCAGCGGCCTTAGGGCCTTGGCGGCAGCAGGCCCCAGTAACACAAGGAAGTCCTTGGTTCCAAAAAGGTTTATTGTCATGGCAGATAATAGATGGATCTAGGCGTACCCCCAAAAACTCAGGGCAGTCCCGAGTTATATAGGGAGGGAGAAAGGGGGAGGATTAGGGGAGGATCTGAGGGAGGCATGTTTAATTTGCTCTGCCCTCTGGCCTTCATTAGTATGTAAATCCCTAGGGCCTGAGGCCTATAGCCTGGCCTATGTGACTCTATGGAGATGTGACTGCTTTTCAGGATCCTGGATGATGGGAGGGACCGAACTCCTGCCGGTTCTCGTGCAGAATTCCACGCAGCAGAGTATGCAGAGTCTTGGGGTTCTAGGCACCTGCTCAACCATGACCCAGGATACCCTTACGCAGTCCCACAGTCAACATCAGAATCAAGTTCTTTCATCACAACAAAACTTGGGTTCCCCAATACATCTCAAAACCATTATGTTGACTTAAAATTTTATCTTATGAAGATAATAGACTTCTTTAAGGGGAGTGTAAATAACTCACTGAAAGAAATACAGGAAAACACAGATAAACAGGTAGAGGCCTTTAAAGAGAAAACAAATAATTTCCTTAAAGAAATACAGCAAAACACAATCAAACAGTTAAAATAATTGAACAAA